TTTTTTTTTTTTTTTTTTTTTTTTTTAGAGAGAGAGTGGAAGGGAAGGAGGGGGAAAGAGAGAGAAGTATCAATGCGAGAGACACATCAACTGGTTGCCTCCCAGACACACCCCAACCAGGGCTGGGGATTGAACCTGCAACCCAGGTACATGCCCTTGACTGGGAATCAAACCTGTGATCATTCCACGTTCAGGCTGACACTCTAACCACTGAACCACACCAGCCAGAGCCTGGATGAATTTTATAACATATTTTGACACTCTTGTAACTATTACCCAGATTGAGATCTAGAGCATTTCTATTACCCCTGAAAAGTTCCCTTGTGCCCCCTTCCTGTCATTATCACCCACAGGCAACTGCTATGTTGACTTCTATCACTATAGATAAGTTTTGTACATTCTTGAACTTCATATAAAGGGAATAATACAGTGTGTGCTCTTTGACTTCTTCACTCAACACATTTTTGAGATTTACTGATGTTTTATTATAACATCATTTTACATAGCAAGGAATAAAATATATGTACATGCCATAATTCAATTTTTTATGTAAACCAGTTCCCTAAATGTTACTCTTTGAGTTGTTTTCATATTCTGGTTATTATAAGCAATGTGATAATAAACATTCTTGCAGCTAAATATTTGCTACAAATATATCTGGGTCAAGGCTTTGATTATGTATTTCTGAACTGCACCCAGAAAAGTTGTATGGGCCTACCAGAAAAGAATGAAGGTGCTCATTTCAAGGAAATTATACTTTCCTGAACACTCATTTACACTGGGTAGTACAATTAAGTTTTTGTTTTTCAATTTGATAGGTGAAAAATGATGTTCCTGTTATAGTTTTCTTTTTTTGAAAATGTTGAACATTGTTTATAAAACATTTGTATTTTTTCTTCTGTTGTTAATAGTAGCTCTTGTTCATTTTTTATGTTTAGTTTTGTGTTTTTGTTAGTAATTTATGAGAGTTCTTTATATAGTAAGAATATTCATGTCTTTATTATAAAAACTTAAAATTTTCTTAGTTAAAAATTACATATTTTTATTTTAGAAAAGTTAATAATCAAAGTCCAAAAGAACAAACTCCTAAAATCTCACCCTCCAAGGATAATTACCATTGACATATTTTTTCTAAGCAAGGTATACTTTTTTTTTACAGAAATGGAATCATCCTTTACATACTTCTTTTTTTACACTGATGCTATTTAATTTAATTTAATTTAATTTATTTTTATTGATTTCTGAGAGAGAATGGGAGAGGGAGAGATAAAAACATCAATGATGAGAATCATTGATTGGCTGCCTCCTGCACGCCCCCTACTGGGGATGGAGCCTGAAACCCAGGCATGTGCCCTGACCAGGAATCAAACGGTGGCCTCCAAGGTCATAGGTTGACACTCAACCACTGAACCGCACCTGCCGGGCTACACCAATACTATCTTAAAAACCACTTTTTTGCTTAATATACCTTGTCATATCATTACATATTTTATAACATCATCTAGATATTATTTTTAAAATTTAAAAGCAATATGTTGGCTCTGGCCCGTGTGGCTCAGTTGGTTGGAGCGTTGTCCCATACAACAAAAGTGGCGAGTTTGATCCTGGTCAGGGCACATACTCAGGTTGCAGGTTCGATCCCATTAGAGTCTCATGTGGGAGGCAACTGATAGATGTTTCCCTCTCTCCCTCTCTCTCCCTCCCTGCCTCTAAAATCAATAATAATAAAAAAAGGAAACAAGAAAAGCAATATGTTGTCATTGTAAACCATTTATGTATCACAGAAAAATGTAGTAAGTATAAGCTCCTGTCATTCTGCCCTCCAGTAATAACCACCATGAACAGTTCTGTGTATCATCTTCCATGTCTTTTTTCTGAGGTTATTCTATCCATACACTTTTTGAAAAATGTAATCACATTATATACATTGTTTTTATTTTTTCACTTATTAATTGATCTTGGATATATCAATATATGTGAACCAACCTAGCTTATTAATTTTTTTCCAATCTGGTTTATTTTAGTGGGGGATACAGAGGTAGCATAACCAACATCTTGATGGATGTTTAAATTGTTTCTAGTTTTTCTTTAATACACACCTCTCTAGTGAACATCTTTCAGTGCTTAAGGAAGTGTTGTAAAATGAATTCCTGGCACTGCAATTGTTGGTACAGAGTACAGATAGTATGGACATTTAAATATTTAATAGAATTGTCCTCCAGAAAGGCTCTATCGGTTTACAGTATTCTTTTTATTGTAGAGAGCACCTTCACAACTCCTTTCTCTTGGTGGATTCTGGTTTGGGGCTTTATAGGCTTTCACCACAGAGAGACCAGATAGGTGTTTCAGGTAGATTTTTATCATAAGCCAGATTTTTCAAATCTTTTAAATCTTTTTGCTTTTCACTTTTTATTATGAAAAACAAAATCTTTTTATTGTTAAAAAATAACATTTATTAGTTTTCCTTTGTGCAAAGAAGGAAACCAAATAATGTACTATTGTCTCATCCTCTTTGACATTAAAAAATATATAATATTAAACATGGTTTAAAGATGTCAGCAATCCAGGATACAAAATGAAAAATGAAAGCCTTCTCTCTTTCAGTTTCTCTCCCCAAAGTAACCACTGTTCATGCTTTTGTGTAATTCCTTCTAGAAAAAAATTCTATATATATTGATGCACATCTCCAGCTCTAGCCGTTTTGTGACTTTCCTTATTTATAGCATGTCCTTCAAACTCTGGTGTCCATAGACCTAGAGGTTTCCATTTCAACTGAGTAAAGATGGACTGTGTAGTAAAACAATTTGACAACTAAGTCATAGTCTCTTTATACTGAATGGCAGGAAAACACAACTGAGAAATTTGTCAGGTGATGGAGAACAAGCATAGTCTCACTTAATCTTCCCGGAGATCTTCCCTTTAATATGATTAGATATCAAATATATTCTTTGTTTGACTCCCTGGGTTGTGAATATTTTGTATTTTTAGCATTCTTATCAGCACCTTGATTTATAATATGTTACCTGAATTAAGCAAAGTACTTATAGGTCTGAGTGACCTGCTTCATAATTTCTCTTTACTTAAAGCTAATTCCTTAAAAAGAGACCCATATTTATGATTTCATATAATACTAAGGGAGCTTGTGTCAATGTTTCCATAATAGTTCAGCAGCCTGGTGTGTCTGTATTTCAATAGGGAACATATCCCTAACTTTGCATCTTTCATACATTTTGAAAGTCTTTCCATATCAGGACATATGGATCTATTGAGGAAGAAACTTTTTAACTTGGGTAGATTTTTAATGTTAATGAATTCTTTGGCACTCTCCATAGTCTAGGCCCTGTCGTCATTTTCCGTTTGATTTCCCAGGGCAGGGCATCCAGGATAGTAGAGCAATAAATCATGACACCCAGGCTGAGATCCCCTCACACAATCTTACTATATGACACTCCTCTCCACCACATGGACACAACTCTTGGTGTCAGTACTAAATTTTGTTTCTGTCTCTCGTTTCCCTCATCCCCGTATCGTCCATGCATATGGATGGTTGAGGGAGTGCCTTCTCGGGTTGGTGCACGGTGAGGTGTCTGTATTTCTTCTCCCTCACACCCTGCCTGCTGATGTCTACCATCTTTTATTTCCACTCCAGGGGAAGCCGTATGTCTTCGACCGTGTGTTCCCCCCAAACACAACTCAGGAGCAAGTTTATCATGCATGTGCCATGCAGATTGTCAAAGGTAATGGATGTATTTTTCGAATGTAGTTTTTCAGGATGCCCATTCCCTACCCCACTTCTCTCCACCAGTGCTCTTTCTCTGCTCTCTCTTCCAGATGTCCTTGCTGGCTACAATGGTACCATATTTGCTTATGGACAGACATCCTCAGGGAAAACACATACCATGGAGGTGAGGGTTCTGACTTCCATGGAGGGTGAGAAGCTGGAGTTATAATGGGAGACCAAGAAATCTCAGTGAGGGAAGGGTAGGAATGAAGTGTTGCCTGGTCCGGAGGTGGCTGGGTCTAGAGGAAAACGGAGGGGCAACAATCTAGTGCAAGTTTAATGCAGTCCCTTCAGCCTGCTGCAGTTTACCCTCCTTTCCACTACTCCAGTTTTCTCTTTTTGATCCGGAAAAGTGGCAGCTATGAAAGCTCAAAGGGCTGTTTAGTTCTGTCCTCCTGCCAAAAAAAGGGACGTGGCAGTGACCGTCTTCTAACGCAGGATGGTTCCTATCAGCTCTTACCTTCGTGTTCACCTGAATACCTCTGCATTGTCTCATTCCTCCTGAGCCCAGCCTTATCTGGAATACCCTTACTCCCCAGGGAAAGCTGCACGACCCCCAGCTGATGGGAATCATTCCTCGAATTGCCCGAGATATCTTCAACCACATCTACTCCATGGATGAGAACCTTGAGTTCCACATCAAGGTGACCAGGCCATGACCTCTGGGCATCTTCAGATGGGGATTGGGAGGGGAAGATCTAACATGAACTCACTGAGATCCTGGATGCCCCAACTTACTCTCCCCTCTGGTTACCTCAGTACTTCCCCCCTAAGATATTCTCTTCTGCTCTTTTCTTCCCTCTATCACTGTTGGAGCAGGTCACGTTAGCTTGAAATTCACTTCATAACTCCTCCTTTCTCCCTAATCAGGTTTCTTACTTTGAGATTTACCTGGACAAGATCCGTGACCTTCTGGATGGTGAGTGGTGTTTAACTCCAGTGAATGGGTGGGGGTGTGAGGAGGGCAAGGAAAAGAAAGGTCACATTGCTCTCGGGGTTAGGTACTGTTTGGCAAGAGATGCAGAGGGGACACAAGGGCACCCCCCCCCCATAGCCATGTCCCTTGCCTCCACTCACCAAGATTTCCAAAACTAAAAGGGTCAGAGGACGAGCTTAGACGCCCAGACCTACACATAAATAGCCTGAGACCAGCTAGACCTCTGGGGCTGGAATCCTGGAGGAGAAACTGTCATCAGTTTGTGCAGGGGNAGACCCCTGGGGCTGGAATCCTGGAGGAGAAACTCATCAGTTTGTGCAGGGAGTTTAGGCTTCACAGGGGAGCCTAAGGGAGTCTTCCCTTTTGCACTTAGAAGAAACACCATCTGAGTGGACTACAGGGTGCAGGGGGTGGGGGTGGGGAGGTGGAAGTGCTCGCCTTGCTCACCTGTTTTGTCTTGATTCAGTGACCAAGACAAACCTGTCTGTGCATGAGGACAAGAACCGGGTGCCATTTGTCAAGGTGAGAGTGGGGACGGGGGCACCCAGGCGGGGCCATTGTATTCCAAGTGTGGGTGTGGGAGCAGGATGGATCAGTGACCCAGAAGTTGGAGGGTGGATCTCCTGGAGGTGTGAGATGTGCCAAGGGGCTGGGGAGGGGCTGGGGGCTTGGAAAGGACATTCTCTGGAAAGGTCATTTTGTCCTTTGAGGGTGCAGGTAATTTAATTAGCAGGTCAAAGTTTATGGGTCACTGTCCATTTGCCCCTGCAGGGTTGCACTGAACGCTTTGTGTCCAGCCCAGAGGAGATTTTAGACGTGATTGACGAGGGGAAATCGAATCGTCATGTGGCTGTCACCAGTGAGTAGGGATCCAAGGGGCTTTTAATTCTGGGGTCTGCCTCCCCTCTGTGCCTTCAGGGACTGAGAGACTCGAAAGAGAGCAAAGGAAGACTGTCCTCCAGAGGAGGAAGGACCCTGTCTGTGTGACTCTGCTGCCTGGGAAATGTAGTGGCAGGACCCTCTCTCTTGGTGGGTGGGGGTAGTGGTCAGGGGAAGCCAAGCTAAGGGCTTCAGTCCACAGGGATTGGTACCAGGACTATTTCTCCCTCCCTCCTGCAGACATGAATGAACACAGCTCTCGCAGCCACAGCATCTTCCTTATCAATATCAAGCAGGAGAACATGGAGACTGAGCAGAAGCTCAGTGGGAAGCTGTATCTTGTGGACCTGGCTGGGAGTGAGAAGGTTGGGGGTCTTGTGGGGGGAGGGGGGAGGAAAGGAAGCCTTGGGAGGAGGTGTCCTTTTTTAAAAATCAAAATAACTTTTTGCCCTGGCCAGTGGTTGGAGCATTGTCCTATGCACCAAGAGGTCGCTGGTTCGATTCCCAGTCGGGTCACATGGCCAGGTTGCAGGCTTGATCCCCAGTAGGGGGAGTGCAGGAAGCAGCCAATTGATGTTTCTCTGTCATGGATGTTTCTCTCCCTCTCCCTTCCTCTCTCTCTAAAATCAATAAAAACATATTTTTAAAAAATAACTTTTTAAAATTGAGATATAATTCATAGTTCATAAAGTTCACCATTTAAAAGTGCAATTGAGTGGGTTTTAGGATGTTTGCAAGGTTGTGCAGCCATCACCCCTAATTCCAGAACATTTTCATCACCCATTAACAATCACTCCTACCCTCCCTTTCCCTACCCTCTTCCCCTCCCCCTTCTGTCTTGATGGATTTGCCTTTTCTGGACATTTCCTTTAAATGGGGTCTTATAATATGTACATGTAGGTGGGAGGGGGTGGCCTTTGGCAAAAGAATTTAGGGCAATAGAGGAAGGGCCTTCTCAGTTCTCTGTCCTCTTTCCCTGTCCCCTCTCCTCTTTGGACTGCACCCCCTACGTGGAGGGGAGGCGGTGAGAGCCCCCTCCCTTTGCAGTGGCTCATGACATACCTGTCCCTTAATGCCCTGTAGGTCAGCAAGACTGGAGCAGAGGGAGCCGTGCTGGACGAGGCAAAGAATATCAACAAGTCACTGTCCGCTCTGGGGAACGTGATCTCTGCCCTGGCTGAGGGCACTGTGAGTGTTCCTTAGGTCCCCTCACTCTCAAGGTCCCCCTCGTCTCCCACCTTCTCCTGCTGCCATGTAACCACGCCCTGGTCATGGATCGCCCGACCCCTGGTCTACCACTGTCCTTTCTGATTCTCCTGTTACATTGACTTCTCTGATTCACGCCTCCCTCCTTCCCCAGAAAAGCTACGTGCCCTATCGAGACAGCAAAATGACACGGATTCTCCAGGACTCTCTGGGAGGAAACTGCCGGACAACTATGTTCATCTGCTGCTCGCCGTCCAGCTACAATGATGCGGAGACCAAGTCCACCCTGATGTTTGGGCAGCGGTCAGTGGCAGGGCCCCCAGCTCCCGGCCCAGCCCCTGCTGCTCTGTCCCCTCAGCGTCAGCAGGCCGCAACGAGGGTCTCGTGACCTTGTCCCCTTCTCACCCAGGGCAAAGACCATCAAGAACACCGCCTCAGTGAATCTGGAGTTGACTGCCGAGCAGTGGAAGAAGAAATATGAGAAGGAGAAGGAGAAGACAAAGGCTCAGAAGGAGACAATTGCAAAGCTGGAGGCTGAGCTGAGCCGTTGGCGCAATGGTTAGAGAGGGGTCTGTGGGCATGTGAGGTGGTGGGAAGAGGAGGGGCCGTAGGGAGCCGGAGCGCAGCCCTGCCTTGGGGGTGCTTAAGGGCAGGCCAGTCTCCAAGGAGGGCTGTGTTTCTGGAGGGGGCCGTGGAGCGGTGGTGAGGGGAAGGGGGAGGAGCTGACTACCATGTCCTCCCAGCCCCGGAGACATCCACGTAGCAGGAGAGATGGAGACCTGGAGGTCTGGGCGTTGAGCAGTGAGGGAGGGAGGTCTGGCGGGTGCCGCTTTCCTTTCTCCCGTCCCCACTTGGTTTTGCCCCTTTGACAGGAGAGAATGTGCCTGAGACAGAGCGCCTGGCTGGGGGAGATGCAGTCCTGGGAACCGAGCTCTGCGAGGACACGCCTGTCAACGACAACTCCTCCATCGTGGTGCGCATCGCGCCCGAGGAGCGGCAGAAGTACGAGGAGGAGATCCGCCGCCTCTACAAGCAGCTTGACGACAAGGTGAGGGCAACCAGGGCGCAGAGACGGCCCGTGGAATGAGAGGGGGAACTTAAACATTAGCTTATACTGCCCTTATGTGATTTTAAAAGGGGTAAATGCTCATTATTGAAAATGTGGGAGATAAATAAAAATGCGTAGAAGGGAATTAAAATCATCCATCAGCCTACCATTCAGAAATAACACTGTTAACATTTTGCTTTTCTCTGTGCATATACCGTGCAATTGAGAGATACTGTATATGTAACTTGGCATTCGATTTTTTCATTCAGTATTGTATCATGAGCAATTTCCTACTTTGTTAACAATTCTTCATAAAAGTATTTTGAAATGTCTGCCTAACAGTCTGTGTATCAGAATGTATTTAACTATTCACTTATTACAGGGCTTCTAGTTTTTTTGGTTTTGTTTGTGTGTGTTTTTTGTGTTGTTTTTAATTTTTTTTTACATATCTTTATTGATTTCAGAGAGAAGGCAGCAGAGGGAGAGAGAGATAGAAACACCAATGATGAGAGAGTCATTGGGGATCGAGCCCACAACCCGGGCATGTGCCCTGACCGGGAATCGAACCTCGATCTCCTGGATCCTAGGTCGATGCTCAACCGCTGAGCCACGCCCGGCCGGGCTGTTTGTTTTTGATATTATAAATAATTACCTTTATTGAAATGATTAACTTTGCCTCTTTGCATAAGGCTTTGCTCTTGAATGATTTGGATAGAATGGAGTGCTAGAGTGGGATTTCTAGGTCAAAGGATATGGATATTTTAAGGCTGTTGCTATGTATTGCCAAGGTCATACTAACTTCTAGGAACAAAGGAATTTAAAAGTAAGGGCAGGAGTTGAGGAAAGAAGCTGAGGAAATTCAGATGTCTTTTTAGGCTGTGGGGTTTTAAAAAGTCAAAACCTGAACTACCTCGATTTTATTAGGATCCTGTCTCTCCCTCAAACCCATAAGTCTAAACCAGGAGGACTAGCTTCCCTTCACTCCATCTTTCCCCCTTTCCCCTAACAGGACGAAGAGATCAACCAGCAGAGCCAGCTTATCGAGAAGCTCAAGCAGCAAATGCTGGATCAGGAAGAGGTAATGGAGAGGAGGGCAAGACGTGAGAGGAGAGGGGTGTGCGTTCATCCCTGGAAGGCTTAACAAGGACCTTTTCACAATCAGAGGGGAGAAGAGGCATTCTGCTAGGATTTAGTCACCCCCTATACTATGGAGGTGTGGAGACTTAATTGGGACTTTGCTTAAAGCACAATTATGGCATCTAGGTGCTTCTTCATTCCGCTGCTCTATTTCTAAGAAGCCTAAAGCCCACTTCCTCTTGACTCTTATTTTGGCCCTTGCCTCTTCTAGGCTATGCCTGGGTGGGGGGCTCAGCTTCCCCAGAGCAGGGAGACCACAGAAGTGGTCACTGGCAACAGACTCCCTCACATGCCTCCCCTCCCTCGAAGCTGCTGGTGTCCACTCGAGGAGACAATGAGAAGGTACAGCGGGAGCTGAGCCACCTGCAGTCGGAAAATGACGCCGCCAAGGATGAGGTGAAGGAAGTGTTGCAGGCTCTGGAGGAACTGGCTGTGAACTACGACCAGAAATCCCAGGAGGTGGAGGAAAAGAGCCAGCAAAACCAACTTCTGGTGGATGAGCTGTCTCAGAAGGTGGTGAGTGGCCCACTGGGGTCCAGCAGCTCCCTGGCCTCAGGATATCCTCCATGTCCAAAGGGGCCATTGCTTCCTTCCAGGGCTGCACTGTGTTTGTACCTTTGCACTGCTGTTCAGTGTGTCGTGAGACCTTCCCTCCGCTGCTCACTGCACTTCGCTCTCCTGACCCCTCTCTCTTCCAGGCCCTTCTGCAGGGCCTGTGTTCTCTTCACAGCAGCCGTCAGGGTCATGCATGAAGGGAGAGGCCTCTGCCCGGGCTGGGGAGTGTAGCGGGAAGATGGTGATGGGATAACAGGTTGATGCTGTCCCCAGGCCACCATGCTGTCTCTGGAGTCTGAGTTGCAGCGGCTACAGGAGGTCAGCGGACACCAGCGAAAACGAATTGCCGAGGTGCTGAATGGGCTGATGAAGGACCTGAGTGAGTTCAGTGTCATCGTGGGCAACGGGGAGATTAAGCTGGTGAGTGGAGACAGAGGCAGCAGTTTTGTTCAGGTCGTTTTTTTCTGGGCATTGATGGGAGATGCAAAACAGGAGAATCCAGGCCGTCAGGGACACTGAAAAAGGCAGGCCAAAGATCCAGGAAACACGCCCTCAAACTAGACCCAGGAAAACAAGTAGAGGTTTGCATAGACTCAACTGAAAATACGCCTTCTAAAGGGTGCTGAATGAAGAAGCAACAAAAGAGCGTATGAGATCTTGCTCCCTGGCACATGTGGTCATTTTGGCTCAAATAAACTCTTAGTAAAAGTCTCTAAAAAGAGAAGAAGCATAAGCAGCGACAATGGAGATGTAGTTATAGCAGGATTTAGAGATGGGGGCACAGAGTTAGAAATGACATATGCAAATCAGTGGCAGGGACAATGACCCATCTGGGTGATCAAGCAGAACAGTTTGACTGAAAAAAAAAACATATTGCTTTATAAGACAGAAGAGGTGACTGTCAGAATTGGATCTTTAAGTTCAGGTAGAGGATTTAGTGTGAAATGCCAGGTGATAGCTGCTAAAAGTTGTTTGGAGAATACCTGTCCCATTTAAGTCCTGGTGCAGGTGGGTGTGTGCGGGGATAAGCAGAGTGGAAGGGAATAAATAAAAGGTTTCCTGCAGCAGAGCACCTTCTCCCTTCCTTGCCCCTAACAGCCCGTGGAGATCAGTGGGGCCATCGAGGAGGAGTTCACCGTGGCCCGACTCTACATCAGCAAAATCAAATCGGAGGTCAAGTCTGTGGTCAAGCGGTGCCGGCAGCTGGAGAACCTCCAGGTCGAATGTCATCGCAAAATGGAAGTGACTGGGCGGGAGCTCTCATCCTGCCAGCTCCTCATCTCCCAGGTGAGTGCAGGAGTTTGAGAGTCTTTGGGTGCCATGGGAGAAAGAGGGTGACTCTGTGGTTATGAGGTAAAATTCCTAGGACTTACCTTTATGTCAGGTGCCTAGGGCCCACTGAAGTCAAGGACAGAAGAGCTTGGGTTAGCAGAGGAGGGTCTGGGCCAGAGAAGTGAAGTTTCAGTGGTGATACTGGCCTCTGAGCTGATGGGGTCTAAAAAAGGGTCTGTAGAAGCATGGCCCCTGACGTTGCATCCTCATGGAAGACATCGCAGGAGTGGAGGGCCTGGGAAGAGAGCTGGAGTTTACAGAGGTCTCTGCTGCCCAGAGTGGTGACCTTTGCTCCACCCATACTCTTCCTCTCTCCATCCCTTCCCACGGCAGCATGAGGCCAAGATCCGCTCGCTTACGGAATACATGCAGAGTGTGGAGCTAAAGAAGCGGCACCTGGAAGAGTCCTATGACTCCCTGAGTGATGAGCTGGCCAAGCTCCAGGCCCAGGGTGAGGCCTTCTTAAACTTCCAACCCATCAGGATATGAGATTCCAGAGGCAGCAGGGAGGGAAAGTGACAAACATCCAAAGAAACCAGGGACAGCACATTCCCCCAAAGCACGAGACTGAAATCATGGAGACCAACCCACATGCTACTTAGCAAGTTTTTGCATGTAGCTTACTGCACACAAAACATAAACACTCCGTTATCCTGTCCCTGCTATATCAAATTGGGCTGTCCTAACCCAGAAGTACATTCCTGTGGACCCATGCTGGGCAGATGTCCCCTGCCCTGCCTTGAGGTCTGGTTACAATGTGAAGTTCCTCCTGGTGGAGGTAGGTGTGGTGTAAGCTGTCTTTCCCTCTTTTAGAAACTGTGCATGAAGTGGCCTTGAAGGACAAGGAGCCAGATACACAGGATGCAGACGAAGTGAAGGTGAGTGGGGAAGGTGTGGGGATGACTGGGGCCTGGCAGGGCTGTGCTGGCCCACACTGAGCTGGTGTGGGGGAGTCTGGCTTTGAGCTTGGGCGGGGGGCGGTGTTCACAGAAGGCCCTGGAGCTGCAAATGGAGAGTCACCGGGAGGCCCATCACCGCCAGCTGGCCCGGCTCCGGGACGAGATCAACGAGAAGCAAAAGACCATTGACGAGCTCAAAGAGTAAGCGTTCCAGAGGGTGACTCTGGTCCCCACCTGTTCCTCTCGCCCGGCTATGTCCACTCAAGTGCTCCCCTGAATCCTATTCTTTAACTTCCACATGTCATTTCCCCAACAATGACACAACTTTGCAGCCCAACTCAGGAGGGTCAAGGAGTAAGGCCTAGTCCCAGTCCTTGAGGCTCTTTGACTAGAGAGCTCAGGGTTCTTTACTGTCATGGAAGTAAGTGGTTTCCATGATCCACGAAGGTAGATGCATTAATTCTAACTGGACTCACTCATATCAGAGGGAAAATGCTTGAGGAGCTGGTCTTTCCTTTCTCCGTCAGCCACATCCTTTTGTTCTCTCCATACCTCTTGCCCGCCACAGCCTGAATCAGAAGCTCCAGTTAGAGCTGGAGAAACTTCAGGCAGACTATGAGAGGCTGAAGAACGAGGAGCAGGAGAAGAGCACCAAACTCCAGGAGCTGACGTGAGTGTCCGGGGCCGCCGGCAGGCCCGCAGCCACCGAGGCTCAGGCTGCGACTCAGCCACTCTCAGAGGCAGGATGCAGTGCAGATGGGAATGCAGTGACCGTGGGAAGCAAATGCCTCACAAGAACAACTCGATGGAGTGGGGAAGGGGGAGAAAAAGGAGACTTTCAGAAATGACCTCTGTTGAATATTAGCTGACATGGGAAGATGTTTGTGATGTTCTGTTAAGTGTGAAAAGCAGGCTACAAAACAGTACGAATTAATGATCCCATAAAATGTATATGGGATGCACATGCATAGGAAAAAGGGTCTGGAAAGATGGACACCAGAATGTTAATGGTGGTTTGATCTGTAAGTAGTGGAATCATGGGCTTTTTATGAAACTCGTTTTCCTTATCTTTTTTCTTTTAATTTTAAAAATATATNGACGAGATCAACGAGAAGCAAAAGACCATTGACGAGCTCAAAGAGTAAGCGTTCCAGAGGGTGACTCTGGTCCCCACCTGTTCCTCTCGCCCGGCTATGTCCACTCAAGTGCTCCCCTGAATCCTATTCTTTAACTTCCACATGTCATTTCCCCAACAATGACACAACTTTGCAGCCCAACTCAGGAGGGTCAAGGAGTAAGGCCTAGTCCCAGTCCTTGAGGCTCTTTGACTAGAGAGCTCAGGGTTCTTTACTGTCATGGAAGTAAGTGGTTTCCATGATCCACGAAGGTAGATGCATTAATTCTAACTGGACTCACTCATATCAGAGGGAAAATGCTTGAGGAGCTGGTCTTTCCTTTCTCCGTCAGCCACATCCTTTTGTTCTCTCCATACCTCTTGCCCGCCACAGCCTGAATCAGAAGCTCCAGTTAGAGCTGGAGAAACTTCAGGCAGACTATGAGAGGCTGAAGAACGAGGAGCAGGAGAAGAGCACCAAACTCCAGGAGCTGACGTGAGTGTCCGGGGCCGCCGGCAGGCCCGCAGCCACCGAGGCTCAGGCTGCGACTCAGCCACTCGCAGAGGCAGGATGCAGTGCAGATGGGAATGCAGTGACCGTGGGAAGCAAATGCCTCACAAGAACAACTCGATGGAGTGGGGAAGGGGGAGAAAAAGGAGACTTTCAGAAATGACCTCTGTTGAATATTAGCTGACATGGGAAGATGTTTGTGATGTTCTGTTAAGTGTGAAAAGCAGGCTACAAAACAGTACGAATTAATGATCCCATAAAATGTATATGGGATGCACATGCATAGGAAAAAGGGTCTGGAAAGATGGACACCAGAATGTTAATGGTGGTTTGATCTGTAAGTAGTGGAATCATGGGCTTTTTATGAAACTCGTTTTCCTTATCTTTTTTCTTTTAATTTTAAAAATATATATCTTTACTAATTTCAGAGAGAGGAAGGGAGAGAGAGAGATAGAAACATCAATGATGAAAGTCATTGATCAACTGCCTCCTGCATGCCCCCGACTGGGGATCGAGCCCGCAACCCGGGCATGTGCCCTGACCGGGAATCGAACCGCGATCTCCTGGATCCTAGGTCGATGCTCAACCACTGAGCCACGCCCGCCAGGCTCCTTATCTTCCTCCCCCCCTTTTCTAACTTATGTACAGTGAACATGAGTAACTTGTATGGTAAGTAATATAAAGTATGAAAGGAACGGAGGCAAGAGAAGAGTCCTGAGTCTTCTGTGTTCCTCTTCCTCCAGATTTCTGTACGAACGACATGAGCAGTCCAAGCAGGACCTCAAGGGGCTGGAGGAGACAGTTGTGAGTAGTTTCCTTCTGTGCTGAGTTAACAGGGTGGGGGCTTCATCTCTTCCCCACAATTTCTCCCGAACCCCACTCCTCCTTCTGCAAAGCCTGCCTGCGGCGTAATCAGGACACATCTTTTCCTAAAGGATGTGTGACTCACTTAAGTGGATAGGCTGCTGAAGGCGCCAATAACTTCAGAGTAAAAAGGTTGACCAGGTATTTGACTACCCCAGTCTTTCATCATTCTTTCCAGGCCCGGGAACTCCAGACCCTCCACAACCTTCGCAAGCTGTTCGTTCAAGACGTCACGACTCGAGTCAAGAAAGTGAGTTCTCTCCCCACTTGGGCTCTTCCCAACCCCCATCCTCTCCTCCTGTTCCCAGGTTCCTCCAGCCCTTTGGTCTCCTGTGGCTGGCTTGGCCTGGTTTGGGTGGGACCTGTTTGGCTTCAGGACAGCTACATATTTCCCTCTGTCTTTAATCAGAGTGCAGAAATGGAGCCCGAGGACAGTGGGGGGATTCACTCCCAAAAGCAGAAGATTTCCTTTCTTGAGAACAACCTGGAACAACTTACAAAGGTTCACAAACAGGTAAGAATGGGGCAAGGAATGAGGAGAACGCTTGAGGCCAGGTGCCTGGGATACCAAATCCTCGGAGGCCCCTTGAATTTAGGAAAATCTATCTGCATGTTTTCCTTACTTTTCCCACTAATTCCTTCTTTATAGCAGATTTGGTCCCACTTTTACTTTGTTGTTCATCCCATGCCTGTTTTCCCTTCTCTAAGCTCCCAACTTGCCTCTGCTCAAAGTGGAATCCCCAGGCCTATGTTGTTGGAGGGAAACGCTGAAATTGATAGAGGCTTCCAAGGCATGGGGCAGTAACTATACACAAGGGATACTGATCACACTTCAGCCAGGGATAGAAAGCATTGAAACAAGAAGCAGCTAGGGAAGTTGGGTTTTCTTTCATGGAGAGAACTCCATCTGCCTAGGCCTGGGGCAGGCATGAAGGGAAATTCCATGATGTCCTTGAGATGGCCCAACCAGCCCCTGGTCGGGGCCAGGCAAAACTCCTGTGTATTAAGTTACTGCCTCTCTGTCCCCCTCCTTGCTGCTGCGGTTCCCTAGGTGGATGACTGGGTTTCAAAGGTATGGGGTGGGGAGGTAGACGGAGCAGTCCAAAGGAGTCCGGACAGGAAATGTTTGGTGCTGACAGAGCCAAATAGCTGAGCCTTGAAGACAGGGCAACAGTCTGTCAACTGGTTCTTTTAACTGATTCATAAAATAAACCCTAACTTGTACTTTATTCCCTTCCACTTTAAATCCACTTTAAATCTACTTTAAAATTCCATTTAAACTCATATTCTCACTAAACTGGACCTTAAACTTCTTTCCCTCCCAGTACACTGGAGTACACTGGAGTAGTAGACACTCAGTATATCTTCTTTTAAAAAAAAAAAAAAAAGATAAACATCACAGAACTGTGGCCCAATGATAGTCTGCAGGGTTTGTTTTATTTGGGTTTGCAGAGGGCTTTACTACCATCCCTCTCTCTTTGCCTATTATAAAACAATATAACAACATTATAGGAAAGTTGAAACATAGGGAAGAAATGTTTGTTATCAGTTCTGCCATTCTTTTTAAAGAAATTAAAAAGAATGTTCATTTTCCTTCTCTATCTAAATGCATATTATATTGCCTTTCCCCCTAGTTTTTTACTGTGATAAAATATGCAGCATAAAATTTACCACCCTGATCATTTTTCAGTGTACAATTCACTGGTATTAAATTCATTGGTAATGTTGTGCAGCCATCATCACCATCCATCTCCACAACTCTCTTCATCTCGTAGAACTGAAACTCTATGTCCCTTAAACAATAACTCCCCCTCCCCTCCTCCCCCCAGCCCCTGGCACCTACTACTCTCCTTTCTGTCTCTACGATTTCGACTACTGTAGAAGTGAGATCATACAGTATCTGTCCTTTGATGAGTGGTTTATTTCACTCAGCATAATGTCCCCCAGGTTCATCCATGTTGTGGCATATGTCAGGAGACCATAGGCTGTTTCATCCCCCCGCCCCCCATTGAAGCTCTGCCTCTGCTCCAAATCCCAAGGACCAAAAGCTACTCACTCATAGGATTAGAGGACTCCTCAAAATTTCCTACCTTAGCAGACATGAGGCTAGAAAGGAAAATGAGAGAGATGTAGAAACTTCTCTGTTAACCAGATCTTAAATAGCCAGGGCTACAGCACCATTACTGATCAAACCAAGCTATTATCCCAGCAACACGCTGTTTATAATCTGTAAATTGTCTAAAATTAAAGGGGCAGAGTGTTTCTAGCTCTGTCCTCTCTCCCAGTGTTCCCAGCTACACTGAATTCCCTGCTACCTTCCAAGGCCGGCTTCTTTGGCCATCTCTAGTGCCCCCAGTCATGTGTGAGACCCTGTAAAAAGATCAGCATGTCTTTTCTGGCTGCAAGGTGGTTGCTACCACACTAGCTTAATTTAAGTGGGGGAGGGACAGCTCAGGAAATTCTTGACTGTGCAGGTAACGAACACAAATGTTTGTGAACCTCAAACATTTTCTTTCCTTCCTATGGGGCATCGTGTGTATGTGTGTGGGAGGAAGTGGGGGCTCCTGGATTCCAGCTTCTGCTCCTGCTCTGCACTGTACCTCACCTGCACTCAATGCCATATCCACCCTCCAAACTGCTGCTGTGCTCTTGCTTCCCCTCCCTGTGCATGCCCACAAAGCCATCTCTGGGTGAGGGGGTGCCTCATCCCCATGGTTGCCCTGGGGCTGTTGGTTTGGCACAAGCTGTAAGATATTGGGGGGGGGTGTCTAGGCCAGGAGGAGACTGGGACAGGGTGCTAGCACAGGGGTTCTGGGCTACAGTGGAGTTGGCACGTTTTGCTGCCCAGAAAACAATGTGACTTTTTATAATGCCTGACCATCGTTTGCTCAGGGAGAAGGAAAGAACTAGCTAAAACAGCAAGTTAAATAAAGGGAATGGGGTTTTTGAGGAAACAACGTGGTCTCTGTCTTCTCTGACTTGATTTTTCTTCATTCTCTCTCCCCACCTGCACCCCACCCTCCACTGCCGGCTCTGCCCTGGGTCACTCGCCTTTGCTCCCGCCTCTTCCCTTGGGCTCACCCTGCAGCTGGTACGTGACAATGCAGATTTGCGTTGTGAGCTTCCTAAATTGGAAAAACGACTTAGGGCTACGGCTGAGAGAGTTAAGGCCCTGGAGGGTGCACTGAAGGAGGCCAAGGAGGGCGCCATGAAGGACAAGCGCAGGTACCAGCAGGAGGTCGACCGCATTAAGGAGGCTGTGCGGTACAAGAGCTCCGGCAAGAGGGGCCATTCCGCCCAGATCGGTGAGTGGGGAGTGGGTGGCAGTAGGCAAGGTGGGGTTAAGTGTCAAGCAACTAGATTATTGCTTTTTACCCTCCCTGACCCCCATCATCACCTCCCAAAAGTATAAAAGTGAATTATCTTACAAGCCATTCAGTTCAGCTCCAACTACATGACCTCAGGGACCAGGGCAACTGCAGGGAATCAAGCCTCCTTAGCATCACTTTCCTTTCTTTATTACAGCCAAACCCGTCCGACCTGGCCACTACCCAGCATCCTCGCCCACCAACCCCTATGGCACCCGGAGCCCTGAGTGCATCAGTTATACCAACAGCCTCTTCCAGAACTACCAGAATTTGTACCTGCAGGCTGCACCTAGCTCCACCTCAGATATGTAGTGAGTGGCCAAGGGTGTGGGCTGGAGCCCCAACCCAAGGCTCTCTGCACCCTATAAGGCATAAGGTTGGGTCAATCATTGGGTGAGGTTTAATTCTTTTCCTAAGTAGCTTCATTAATTCTTTCTCATTGATCCTTAGAGGGTGGGCACCTGCCTTCCAAGCCTGCAGCCGTGTTTGTTTTCTATTCTCTGGGGAAGAGAGGGGTGTACAGCTCCATCCCTGAGGGTGTGGATGTGTCCTTGGCATAGTGGAGGGGGGGTGCCAGAGGCTGCATCTCTCTGCTCTGCTCCATCCAGCTTTGCAAACTCCTGTACCAGCAGTGGGACCATGTCTTCTGGCGGCCCCCTGGCTTCCTACCAGAAGGCCAACGTGGACAATGGTGAGTGAGAAAGATGGGTCACCAGCCTTTAGGATCCCCAGGGCAAGCTGAAAAGTATAAGAAAAGTGAGTGACCCTGTACCTACAGCTTGAACACTGCCCATCCCTTCAGGGGCTTGGATTCTCATAAGTAGATTCCTCCTATTACAACACCTGTCCCCACCCTTACCTTTCTTTCCCCTTCTTCTCTCCTTCATGAGGGGCCAGGGAGGCTTTTTCTCAGGCAGCATGGAGTAGCTGTAGATAGAGTGCCACAGACCCAGATGGCAGCTGTGCTCCAAAGAGTGTTACCTTTCTTTCTAAGAAATTAGGATGAGAGAGGGTCCGGGGAGACTGTTTCTAATGCTATCTCCTTTTTCTTCCTCTAATCTTACATTCTCAATGATGATCTCTTCAGGAAATGCCACAGATATCAACGACAACAGGTACACCAGTCCCCACTGCTCTTGGGTTCTCTAGGTGGAACTAGAAGAAATGATTAAATTTCCCTCATGCCCTAGTTAGAGGTTCCCTGGAGCCTTCTGGGGAAAGAAGAGGAAATGAGAATCAGTCTTGCCATCACTGTGTTATCCAGGAGACCCAGTCACTCCCCTGCCTCGGTGCAGAACACTGTCCCCTCCTCCAATCCCATCTGTGACTTCTCCCCATCCCAGTGATGGGGGCTGGGGGGAAATGCCATGGACCTGATGCCCTGGTTTCTCTGGGAACTTTGTGATCTTGGGCAAGTCAGCTCCATCTCTCTGCCCTTGTTTTTCCCTGTATTCCTGTAAAACCGGAATAGTCCCTGCCCTTCACTATCTCAAAGAAATGTTATGAGAGCAAAGTGACAGGAATGCTTTCATTTTTACGGAGCTGACAATGCTGTGATTGTGCTGGGACTCTTCTTCCAGGAGTGACCTGCCATGTGGCTATGAGGCTGAGGACCAGGCCAAGCTTTTCCCTCTCCACCAAGAAACGGCAGCCAGCTAATCTCCCATGCAGACTGCTGCATACCTGCACTTTCAGGTAGCTTCAGGCCGCTTCCTCTGACCAGCCTCAGGTTGCCTACTTTCTTGCCCTCAGCCTCTTGTCTCTTCCTTTTTCTGTGTGTGTTTTTTTTTTTAATCATTTCAAAACTTTTACTACATAGTTATCCCTCAATTCCTTTCCCTTCTAGGGGTTCCATTTGTGCTGCCCCAAGTCCTCTGAACACTGACCTCTCTTCCCCACCTTATACTTTCCTTTTGGCCTATTAGTAGCCACAGTACTGCCTTTCTGCCACTAGGGGTCACTGCCACATGTCAAAATAAGTGAGAAAGGGGGATGGATCCTGAGCCACTCACTGGTCATAGACCACAGTAGATATTAGGAGACTTTGGGAGATAATCTCAACCCGCCTTCTGCCTCCACCCTAAAATAATTTTGGATGGATAGGTATTTTCAAAGACCTCTCCAGTACAGGAGATGTTTGATTTTTTTCCTACACCTGTGTCCTATACTCATATCTGTGTGTTGCCAATGAGTTTTAGGAAATGCCCCAGGAATCTTAACTTTTTGTTTATCCAGCTGCAGTGTTAGCACTCCTCTCTCATCTTGCTCAGTGGAGGTGGAAAACCACTGTGTCCCCACCTCCAAGCCACCCCCACCGTCTCCACCTCAGTCCCCAGGTCCTCTCCTGTAGTAGCACGGCACCTTCCTGGTTCTTGTGTCACCAGACTCCTTGCCATGGTTGCTTTTGGGCCCAGAACTGGGTACTGTGATCCTGTTTTATGGTCCACTTTGGGTCCTTGGAGAATTAGGAATGAGAGAACACAGCTAATCTCTTACTGGGCTGCATCTAAGCTGAGCCCTCTCCAGGGGTTTTCCAAAACAGTAGGCCAGGCACACACAGGCAGAAAGGCATGAGAGCAAAGAAGTAGGAATGGGGAAGGAGAAGTTAGGAAGATCTGGGGTGAAGGAGGAGGGGTTGGGAGTGTGGTGTCCAGTTGTTGGTATTAAAGGAACAGCACTGTAAACCAAAGTCTGTATAAATGTCACCCTGCTCCTATTCAGTGGCTGGGCCTCAGGTGGTTGCTCACACCCTCTTTCTCTTTCTCCCCAGTTTCTAAGAGGGACTGAGGCCTCTTCTCTCAGCATGCTGCAAACCTGTGATCTCTGATGCTAACTCCCTCCCCAACCCTTGTCGTTTGATTGTACTGTTTGATGTCTTCTCTTACTCTGTATCTCTTTGTACACTGTATCTATATATCAAAAGCTGCTACTATGTCTCTATCTTCTGTCTCACTCTCTAAGTATCTAATGATGTATTTAGCAATTTCTAAGCATAGTACACCCTCCTCAATTGGGGCAATAGGGAGGAGGGTGAATGTCTCTTCTTTCATATATGCGTCTCTCACACTGCGTGGTGTTAGTCACGGAGATGATAAAAGGAAAAACGGGAGCTAGAGGGCTGTGACCCTTCATACACACACACACACGCATGCACACACACACAAAGCCTTAAGTGGAAGAATGTCTTAACATCATAAAAAGATACAGAAATAGACTCTTCCTACCTCCTCTTTCACATACAGCACAGGGGAGGGTGAAATGGAAGGACTACTAAATTCTATGTAGAGTTTTCTTCATACACCCTTCACCCAAACCGAGGGATCCCAGGTATGCACCTCTGCCCTTCGAAGTCTGCCTTTTGCCTCCCTCTTCCTGTTCTCCCTGGATGACCGAGAACAAAGATTGCTCAAGGGACCACTTCCCAATCTCCTCAAAACTCCTTTTGATATTCTCCACCCCAGAGCTCCTGATCAGAACCTAGAGTTGCTTTGAAATATTTTGAAAAATTGAGGAGGCAGACCCTTCTGACAGTCTGTTGAGTGGTTGGTCACCTGTCCATGGTGATACTTATAGGCAAGCAGAGTAAAATGATTGCTTCTTTGGGTTTGAGGGTGAACAGGGGCTGGGAAATTCCCAAGTATTTTTTTGCCATGGTGATGAGCTGGGTTCCTTTCTGTGTCCCTTATTGGGCTGCATTTCTTCCCATCTCCACCTTTTGGTTTGGGGGCTTCCAGTTCATTGGCAAAACGTCTATCTTGAGATGCCTTCCTTTCAAGGTGGAGCCTGCCTTTTTCCCAATATACATTTTAAAAACTTTTGTTTGACAAAGAGTTCCTTCTATAATGTTCCCATCTTGTAAGTGCACTTTAAAGAAAGGGGCAGGGCAGATTTTCCAGAGGTGGAGGAACCCCAGGGCTTGAACTGGGGGTCTCTTCCCCCGAGCCCCTCACCCACCATGGAATTGGTAGGACTACTGTTTTGGTTTCAGATGTCCTTTCCTTCCACATGGTGCTAAGGTGGTTTTCCAGGTAACTGCAGGGATGGAGAATGGAGGACACAAGCCAGTCCAAATCAAGAAAGAAAGTCTGGTGCCCAGATATCCAGTCTTATCTAGGATGGAAGGACAGGATCCCCCAGCAGCAGGGCAACCATCCCCTAGCTTCTAAGTCAGGAAAGAAAGCTCAGTGTGAGTGTGAGTCAGTAAATACAGGCTGTATTGGCCCAGGACTCCTTCAAGGAAAGAAGTCCCTTCTCCCTTTACTTGTTGGGCCCCTTTTAGCAATTAAGGGGAAATGGGGGGGGGGGGTGCCAGAGTGATGTGGAATAAATCTAAAGCTGTGATATTCAAACATTTTTCAAAACAAATCTTATATAGAACCCTAATATAAGAAATAACTAAAAGTGATACAGACCTGGGCAGTTTGCATTTTCTTTGTTTGGTGGTAAATGCTTCATTTGTTGAAGAGTCCTTGAACAGTCAGTCATAAGAGACCTTGAGAGTTCTGTAGAGTAGTTTGAAAACCACTGCTCTGAGGAAAGGAGTTCCATCTGACTTCTCAGTCCCAAACTCACAGCAAAGAGGGCAAGGGTGGGTGGATGAGCCATCCTATCTCCAAGACCCAATCGGGGAGGAAGAAGATACCTGTGCACCTGTAGAATTGTGCTAATATTTGCCCCAAGAGCATTTAAGGATCCAGTGGGTTTTATGTAATCTTGTCACCAAATGATTCTTTTAAAACACATAAGAAAATGTGAAGGTGTAGGGCAGATGAGGAGAGAGGTGACAGAGGAAGCAGCCTTCTCTTTAGCAAGATGTAGGAGAAATATAATTCACTTACATTAATCAGAAACAACACACACACAAAGCCTTCACCAGAAGGTTCACTGTACATCTTCCTCCCCGCCCCCCCAACACTCACTGCATCCCTTTCAGAGAGCCAGGGTCACCACAAGGGGCATCTGGCCTGCCCACTCACATCTGCCAAAATGTTGCATGCCAGTGTGGAAGACAAACAAAATGCACAAACCCCAGTGTGTATTTATTTGATGTACATAGATACCTTTAAAATAAAATAAATTCAATGATGACTCTATGGTGGTGTAAATCCTTTCCCTCCCTAGTCTCTCCTTTCCTTGCATATTATGGCATTTGACAGTGTGGTATCTATACTTCCAGATGTTTTTCTATATATTTACACACAGAGTGCCCCCCCCACACACACACACCTTGATAATATACTCTGGGGGAATCTTTTCATGTCAATATACATAGCTTTACATCATTAAAATATATGTATATAATTTCATATATTTGTCCTATAACTTATTCAACCATTACCACAATTGGTGGACATCTTTCTAGGTTGTTGGTAATTTTTAACAGAAAATGGTATCCTGCTCTCTTCATTTTCCCTGCAGACCATCACCTCAGTCCCAGCATCAGTTGTCCTTTTTCAGTGCGTCTCTATCCTGCCTTAGCAAACAGCTGTTCTCTTGTCCCATGATCATCTACCACAATCACCCTCCTAACCCCCGCTTTTGAGCAAACCCCTACCTGTCTTCTCTACTCATACCTCAAAGCTGCTGAGATGAATGGAGAAAATTGCACAACCAAAGCACTGGGGCACGAAGAACAAAGAGCCTGCAAACCTAGCTGGATCTTCTGTGCTGCTTAGCCTGCCTTCTGTGTGTCTTCACACAGTTTCCTCTTCCACCCCCAGGGCAACCAGTCTAAACCCTCACGACTCAAGACCCCTTCTCACCTCCCTCCTTTAGGCAACAACTTTGTTTGCTTTAAAGGGAAAATTAAGGCTATTGAACATGAAATTCTTCATCCCACCCCAGCAACACACACCTGCATACTTACATATATCTGCACAGATCCTTTCCTTTCTCCCTTCTGACAAGTGCTATATCTCCCTTCTCTGGGTTAAAGCAAGTCCCTTCTAGATCTTTCGTTCTTGGGACACTCAGAGCCCAACATATAACATAACTAAAAGTTATGCAGACTTGAGCAGTTTGCATCTTTTTTGTTAACTTCTGTCACAATGACTTTTCCCCTTCTCCTGTTCCCCCCTCCCAAATATTTTTATTGATTTTTAGAGAGAGAAGAAGGAAGAGGGAGAAAGAGAAACATCGATGTGAGAGCAGAACATCGATCAGCTGCCTCCTGCACACCCTCTACCAGGGATCAAGCCCAAAACCCGGGCAGTGCCCTGACCCGGAACCTTTTGGTGCACGGGGCAATGCCCAACCAACTGAGCTATACCGGCCAGGGCTTCCCTTCTAGTTAGATCTCCCTTAAAAGTCCCTTTCTTTACTGTGTGTTTCTTTCAGAGACTCCCCATCTTGTTTTCTTACAACCAAATTTCCCAGAAAAATCCCAGGATTCCTATCCCCACTTCCTTACCTCCCACTCATTCTTCAACCCACCTTGATCCTGCTGTTGTTCTGGTGAAACTGCTCCAAAGGTCACTAGTTACCAAGAACAATTGGCACTTACTTCTCTGTCTTTGTCTTGCTTCACCTGTCTGGCATTTGACATGCTCTTCACGCCTTCCTTTTTTTTTTTTTTTTTAAATCCTCCCCCAAGAATATTTTTCCATTGATTTTTAGAGAAAGTGGGAGGGAGGGGAGAGAGAAATATCAATGTGAGAGAAACACATCCATCGGTTGCCTCCTGCAAGCGCCCCGACCTTGCAGGGATGGAACCTGCAAACCAGGTACAAGCCCTCACCAGGAATCAAACCCGAGACCCTTGGGTGCCTGTGCAGCGATCTAACCAATGAGCCACACTGGCCGGGGCCACTCCTTCCCTCTTGAAACTCCGCTCTCTTGGCTTCTGTGCCCCTGCTCTCCTGGCTCCTTTACTCCTCTGGCCGCCCCTACTCAGCCTTCCCCCACCAGCCTCTTAAATACTGGTCTGCACCAGGGCTCAGCCCTGAGTTCTTTCCTCTGAGAGATGTCACCCACACCCACAGATTCCACAACAGTAATTAATAGTTTAGTAATTCCAATAAAATAATAAATATTTATTGTTGTGGGCCAGTTGACCTCAGGTACCCCTACCATGTTCCAAACGGAACTCATCTTTTTGCCCAAACTGCACCTTTTCTTGTCGCCACCATCTCTCTTCACCTTAGCGGGAAGCCCGGGATTCATTCTCAATGGCTCCCTTTCCCTCAAACCCCCCACATAACAGAATTTTCCAAATTGATATCAAACTATACCTTTAGACGCCGTCTTTCCATCACTAACAGCTACTGTTTTAGAGCATCATCTAGTGTCTAGACTTTTGCAGTACTCCAGGCACCCTCCAGAATGATGCGGAGTGGTCCTAAAAACAGGCACATTCAGTACATTAGCACCATTTAAGGGTTCTGTTACTTTAAGAAATGCTTTTGGGTTAACCTCAGGCGGGAGGTAACTCCTAGAAAATGTGCAAAATCGGTGGGCGGAGACTTTGCGGCAAAGCAGCTCCCGACCGAAGCCTCAG